CCATTTGTTGAATGGCAAGTTGTCCCAGTTAGTAGATCACTCTTTACACTGAAGTCATCTCTCTTGTAGGCCAATCTCAATCAATCCCCACAAAAGGATGTCACATTACCACTGCAGAATGGGCAAAATGTAATAACTCATTACTTCAAGCTTAATGAGAGACTCACTGTTGATCTCAACAGCTTCCATCCATCCAAAATGGATTGTTCTATAGTGAACCCTGACCTCAATGATGCAATCCTTGATCATAGAACAACGTCTGATCCAATCACTCTCAACCGTGACACTTCCACTTACCTCCTTCCAACCACTGAAGAAGGTTTCACAAGTGACTCAGATTCTGTCTCAACAAGCAGCCTACCTGCTGTTCTTACAAAAATGAAACCCAAACACAATGGTAAGCTCAAGAAGAGGAGCTTAACTAAGAAGCTTGCTACTCCACAAAGAGGGAATTTATTCCCAGGTGGCAGGTTCTTCAACATTATCAAATGGTATCAATAGCCATTTGGAATATAAGGGGCCTCAATTTCCCCTTAAAGCAGAAGAAAGTTAAAAATCTTCTCAATGAAAAATGATAGGCATTACAGCTATCATTGAAACTAAGATTTAACTGAATAATGTTACATCAGTTCATAATACTATAGCCAGAGGTTGGAAATGTGTTCATAATTACCAATTTTCACCATTAGGTAGAATTTGGGGTTTTTTGGAAGCTCTCCTCAGTTGATTTTCAAGTCTTTAGTACTTCGAGACAGGTCATCCACTATCGTGCCACAATATTAAGCTGTAAAACTTCTTTCTACATCTCATTTGTCTATGGTGCCAATGAAGCTCTTGAAAGAGAAAATCTCTGGGCAGACATCATCAACCACTCAACCACCATTTCCTCTCACCCTTGGATTCTTGGAGAAGACTTTAATATTATTAAATCAGCTGGTGAAAACTTTGGTGACTCTAAGAAAACATCCAAGCTAATGTTGGATTTTAAATAATGTCTCCACAAATCCAGCTTGGAGGACCTCAATTACTTAGGTTTCTTCCACTCATGGTCTAATAAGAGTCCTGGTATATCCAATATTTCCAAGAAACTTGATAGGGTTTTCATCAATGATGTTTTGAATTCCTCTTTTCCATTATCCCACTGCACCTTCTTACCACAAGGTATATCTGATCATTGCCCCATGGTTATTACTCTTGGTAACCCCAAGCCTAAAAGAAAAGTTCCTTTCACGGTCTTCAATTGCTGGGCAGCAATGAAGGTTTTCTGCCATTGGTCTAATCACTATGGAACACTCAGGTCCAAGGCCACACCATGTTTCAGGTTATAACTAAGCTTAGAAACTTTAAGCATTCCCTCAGATTAGAATTTTCTAAAAACATTTGCGCCATCCAAGGTGAGATCCAAGCAGCTAAAGATGAACTATCCAATTGCCAATTAGCCTTTGACAGTGCGCCAAATGATTCCTCTCTGAGATCCCAAGAAAAACAGCTTTTATTGTATTACACCAGTCTTAGGGAAGCTGAGGAGGCCACCTACAAGAAGAAATCTAGGGTGTTGTGGCTCAAAGAAGGTGACTCAAACACTTATTTTTTCTACAAATCACTCTCCTCAAGGTATAACATGAACAAGGTATCTTCTATCATATACTCAACTGGTACACTCCTTGAAACTGAATTAGCTATCAAACAAGAAGTTGTCTCCCACTTCTATAATATTCTTGGTATGGATCCGTATCTATACCCAGGTATGATCTCACTCACTCCTTTTATACAGTCTGAGCTTCCATCACACTTTGCTACCTCACTTTGCTCTATTCCAACTGATGAGGAGATTCATCAATGTTTTTTCTCCCTCAACAGTGACAAGGCACCTGGTCCAGATGGTTTTAATACTTTATTCTTTAAGAAAGCTTAGCTTGTGATTGGGAAGGATGTTACCTTGGTAGTTAGAGAATTCTTTGTTAATGGGAAGTTACTTAGGGAAATCAACTCAACCTCCATCTCTTTAGTTCCTGAAGTGCCTAATCTATCTTCCATAAATGACTTCAGGCCTATCTCTTGTTGCTCTACTACCCTCCCTCACATTATAGGCCCTGCTCAATCTACCTTCATTCAGGGTAGAATTTATAGATGATAACATCCTAACCCAAGAGCTTTTAATTGGATACCAAAGGCAAGGTAACTCACCTAGGTGTGCTCTTAAAATTACCTTAAGAAAGCATTTGATTCTGTCTAACGGGACTTCGTCCTTGATTCCTTTCCTCCAACATTCATATCCTGGATCCAATCTTGCATAACCACTCCATCATTCACCATCTTACTTAATGGGGAGTTTAATAGATACTTCAAGAGTATCAAGGGCCTTAGGCAGGTTGACCCTCTATCCCAATTCTTGTTTGTTATTGTCATGCAAGTGTTCACTTCCATTATCAATAAGCCCACACACGCAGGACCTTTCAAATTCCATTTGAGATATAAAGAACTATCACTTACACATCTCATCTTTGTAAATGACTTGATGATTTTCTCATATGGCAACCTACCCTCAATTAAAACACTCAAGCTTGCTATTGATACTTTCTCAATGCTATCAGGTCTGTACATTAACCATACTAAAAGCAATATTTTCCTTTTAGGAGTCAGTGAGGCTGTTGAGCATAGTATCATCTCATTTCTAGGATTTAAGAAGGGGAAGCTTCCTATGAGATATTTGGGAGTTCCTCTCATTACTTCCATGTTGAGAGCTTCAAACTGTAGAACTCTGGTAAATAAGGTTACTTCTAGAATAGCTCACTGGATAAGTAGGAACCTATCCTTTGCAGGAAGATTGCAACTTATAGAGGCTATTTTGTTCTCCACTCAAATATATTGGAGTTTAAAATTCATCCTTCCAACAAGCATCATCACTGAGTTAATTAGTGTCTTTAATGCAGGCACTTCTATGGTCAGGTCCATCACTCAAAAGAACAGGTACTAAGGTGGCTTGGAGGTTCTGTTGCCTCTCTAAAAGAGCAGGTGGTTTGGGACTGCCAAACTTGCATATTTGGAATAAGGTTGCTATCATGAAACATCTCTGACATCTTTCTAAATCCAAGGATATTCTATGGGTTCAGTGGGTTAACACTTACTTTCTCAAGGGGATGAGTCTTTGGGAAGTCAAAATTGTAAGCCAGTGTTCATGGAACTAGAGGAAAATCCTCTAACTCAGACCAGCATTCAGGCCTCTTGTCAAGCTAGAAATTTGGGATGGAAAGATGTCCAATTTCTGCTTTGACAATTGGTGTAGTCTTGGCCCCCTACATTAACTCATTTTACCCCAATAGCTTGCTGAATTACCCCACAACAACACAACCAAAGTTTGTTGTTTCATCACCAATTTATCATGGTCATTTCCACCATCCATTACCACCGTCCTACCTGATCAGCTATTAGACATTAACATATTGCCATTACCATGTCCACATAAGCATGACAAACTCAGCTGGATCCTATCCCCAAATGGTGTTTTTTTAATTGCACACACCATAAAACACCTCAGCCACCATCTACCAACCTTACCATAGACTCATTTAGTATGGTCGAAACCACTCATTCCCAAACATTCCTTCACGCTATGGGAAGCTATTAAGCACAGATTGCTAACATTGGACAAGAAATGCACCTCACATATCAACTCAACCATCTATGTCCTATGTCACAAGGAGTTAGAATGCCATGACCACTTATTTCTAGATTCTTCAATACCAATGGAAATAGAAAAAGACTATTCTTTCCATGCTGACATGTCCTTAAATTTTAGCATCTCCAATGACGGAAAAAGGAAGTCCATCCCCCAATTTTTTTTACTTCATGCAGGCCTTCAATGTATAACTTTCTGAGCTTGGGTAGTTGCTGGAGTGTTGGTAAAGATCTACATTTCCTACAGCCTATAAGACTTAGGTTCACCATTTCAGAAAAGGATGGATTGCCTATCCAACTTGGGTTTCCTTACCCCCGAAGAACTCAACTTTGAGCCTTTTCAAGTTTACGTGAGGTTGTAGCGTGTCAAGCACATCCAATTCAAGGTCTTCATCTCGAGAATCATTGAACTCACTATACCATGCCAACTTTACCTCATTAAGGCACTTCTTGTTACTTAAATTTGCCTCATTTGCATCTCGAGCATTTGTTATGTTTTGTAACTTTTAATAGAAATTCTCCCCCGTAAAAGGCTCAGATTCCTTAACTCTTTCAGTCCTGCCCCATTACTTTTGCTGTCCACAACAAACTTATGGACATTTCTTCAAATGCGTAGTGGGTTTCACATACATCCACCAAACTGGGCAAGCCTTGTATTTTGGACTTTGGAGAAGAGATAATTCCAATCACAGAAGCTTGGTCTCGAGAATGGCACTTTCATCACTTGTCTACTATGTTTGGAATGAACGTAAGAGGAGGATCTTCAAGAAAAAGAACCTACCACTAAACTCTGTCCTCCATCGTACACTTGATATTGTCAGAATCAAGCTTGCTGCCCTCCTTATCTCAAATTCCATCAATGGAAAACAAATTACTGATGAATGGGAACTCCCCATTTCCCCATCCTGCTTGCCGGCGGAACCACCAGATCGTTGATTGTGGAGTTTCCCCCTTGTTTCTATCGTAATATGGAGTTGTCAGTTACATCGTTCTCCATTTTGATGCCTCTCTCTTTGTTTCAGTTGGAGCTTTAGGCAATACCTTTTTGGGCTGCAAATGTATATTTTGTTTGGGCCTTAGTGTTGGGTTGTTCCCTTTTTGGGCTGTATACTACTTTATATCTATAAAATTTGAAATTAACTTTTCAAAAAAATAAAATAAAATAATTCCCACCCCAGCGGGACCGATTTTGGGAAACCGATTATGTAAATGGGGAAAAGAATGAGAGATTTTTTGAAAAATCCTACAAATTTTGAGGCGGTTATGAAAATGAAAAAATTAAACGGAAATGTGAACGGAGAATGAGATCCCTACCCCCGTTACCATCCCTACTCCCACACAATAGGGCTATAACCTTTCCAATAAAATGCATCTAAAATGAACCCGATAATACCATCAAGTGAACACAAATTTCACACTATATAAAATGAAAAAGTGAACCCAACAATATCATCAATAACAGTGCCACACCACAAACCACCAGTTTGGCACATATTTCATTCAATCCACGATATTCTTGGCATGATTTGGGTCACATGGGCTTGACTTTATTAATTGCTTCAACTGCAATTTATTTTTTTTATTTTTATTTTTTATTTTTATTTATTTATTTATTTATTTCTTGTAATTGAAGTTTCATAATAAAACATAAATGTCCATTCAGGTGTTGTACATATCAAAGATTGTTGCTAATGACAAAAATAGTGCAATCCTATATATATGATAAATCATTGTCTTAGCCTATTTAGATCCATCTAATTTGGCGAACTAATTTCATCAAGATCATTTAACGACAAGTAAACTTCATCCAAGTACGAGAGCTCTATTCCATTGTCATCATCACCACCATCATCATCATCCAAGTTGCGCTCATATACTTGGCATATGACCCATTTTCTATAATCCTGAAAAATTGTACAAATCATATACATAAATAAATTCAATTAGATCATTTGAGAGGCTAAAGTGACTAACAGGTAGGTTTATTAAAAAATTAATAAAAAAAATAATAAATTAAAGTAGATCAAAATTGTAAAGTCAGTTATGTCTATAATACATACATTGTACTTACTATTTTTGAATTTCCTCTTCGTTTGGATGTTGATCTACTACTAGAACCAGAATCTGATAGCCTGTATTCCTGCATTATCCAATTTGTTTTGTCACCGGCTGGAGGTTCTCCAATGTAAAACATGTAGCATTTCTTCATACCAACTGTTTTTCCAGCTTTGCTAATGATTGATTCATCGTCACCCAATGGCTTCCAATAACCACTGCCTGTAATTCGGGTCCGTGTCCTCCGGCTGAAGAAGTACCATTTGTTCCCCTCAGCCATAGCTTTACCTGAATGGTTGAATAATGCACATACACATGAATTATATACGTACACACGATTGAATTATGTTGTATAGGTGTTGCAACCTTGAACTATATGTGTTGCAAGACTGTTTACATTAGTGTTGCTTGGTGTTGCGCTCTCTATTTAACGTACATTGGACCATTCGCATGGGAGATGATTCAGTTATCATTCTACATAAATTACACAAACATATACAATGGTTAATTGCATTTAACCCTCCTTTACTATCATTTTGTGGCACATAACTCCTTCAACTATGATTTTGGAAGAAAACTCGGTGAAATGATTTTATAGTCCTTGTTTGAAATATGTTTAATTCAATAACACATTTTTCCTTATTTATCCCTTTTTTAATTTTGTAATTACCACATCAATAGTGAATAGTGTGATTGGTGGGTAGGTAAGTATTGTTCGGATATGGGTTATGTGCCACAAAGTTATTGAGGGATTCGTTACCATTTAGCCTATGTAGAACAATTTTTTTTTTAACTATTTGGAGTTTGAGAACTTAAATTTTGTTTCGCTACATGTATAGTCTATATAAAGTCAACAAATTGTGTGTGCAGACATACACACATACACACACACACACACACACACAAGGGTGGTTGATGAAAAACTTTAGCTTACCTTCTAATTCCCAGGGATCGAACGGATAGAGATCAAGATCGGGGATGACACCGGGGTGGCAAGGTAAGAGAGCAGCCTTCCGATGAAGAAAATGGACCACGAGCTCTTCGTCGGTTGGACAGAATCGGAAACCGGGAGGAAGGTTGACATTGTTGTCACCCATAAAGAAGAAGAAGAGGAAGAGGAAGAAAAGAAAGGAATAATGATATATAGTAATTATTGAAGAAGGAAGGAGAGGTTGTTATTGAAGGTTTGGTTGCTGGCCGATACTTATAGCGTAAGAGAGAGAGAGAGAGAGGAGAGAGAAACAAACTGACGTGAGATTGAAGGTGTGTTTCGATACAATTTTTGATTGGAAGTTAGATATGTATATATATGTACACATATATTACACGTGCGTATCTCTGTACAGAAATATAAACGGGACGTTGTAGTGAACTCAACTGGGTGACTATATCTATATGTAACATAGCTACAAATAATGTTTGTATATATATATATATATATATATATATATATACAGCTATGATAATTTGTGTCATCACCACCACTTCATGCTTATATCATCCATTCAGTGCCATCCACGTTTGTTGGGTGTGTATGGGTTTGTTTGGGACTTTTGAGGACCACAAAATGTAGATGGCTTGGCCATTTATACTATATATTGGAGTGATTATAAAAGCCAACATTTATCACAATTAAATGCTGTGTATGTATATGTAATTCGATTTTCATTTGTATTTTTAATTTTTTTTTTCAATATATTTTGTGTTCGATCTTGTTAATTTGTTTTAGTTTCCCACTTTGAATTTTCACATTTAATGTAATCAAGGGTTGTGATCACAGAGATCTGATGTTGTTAATCAATTTCATTTGTTGGGTCTTTATGGATCGACTACATTATACAAGTATTAAATTAAAAATAAAAATTTCAAAATAACCTCTTTATATGAACCACTCATTTTAGACAATGAGTAGGGAACGGGTTGAACCAGTGGACTTGATCAGGAATGGAACTTAATTCCAAATTAGAAATTCAATTTTTATTTGATTAGATCTTGTAAAACTCAAAGACAATCCGAAGTTGCCAATATGAGTATTACTAGATCACAATCTGATCAATATTTATAAGGTTGTTTCATGCTTTATTGGTTGTTGAACTCATTTTGGTGGTAGGGTTCATAGTTCAAATTGAAAAAATTATATGTAAAAAAAAAAAAAAAATTATATTGTCAACATGAACCTATCTTATAAATTCAACTTGATTTCAATATGAATTTATTTCACGTGCATGTGCACTAATCATACGTTGTAATAAACATATATGAAATTCAAGTGAGTTTTGTGTTGAGATTATGTATGGCCCTGTAGTAAGTTTCTTGTCGTTTTAGCATACGACACAAGCACAAATTCCCTCCGAGGGATCCGGTTCGGTGTCGAAATGCTTGAATTCTACTCAACTTTACTTAGTTTAAATTTTAACTCCTTTTTTCTACAAAACAAAAAAAATAGGCAAAAAAATAACCACTCATTTTTTTTTTACCCACACCGAGCCCAAATCCTCACATACCTTTTTACCCACACCGGGCTTGAATCCCCCACGATGGACAGATTATACTATTTGTTACACTTTCACCTTTACTTAACTAGCTCTTGTGCTTTGGTGCAGTGTGTAGTGTGCAGTGATGGGACTTTTGGTCCTACCCTATTTTACTGAATGTGAGAAGATAATGTACTAACTGTACAATAGTCTTTGGACATGTACGTAGAATACATTGCAGTACCAAAACATGGTGGAGGAGATATTAGGAGAAAAGGACTTGAAAGGTGAAACAAGGAAAGTGACCTCATAGGTCCTCTTTATTAGAGATTTGGAGAACTACTTTGTGGGTTAACTTTTCAGGAAACAGAAGAAACCCTAAGAAAATGCTTCCCGGTCTTCATGGGCACTCCAAGTATCAACTGCACAATGTTCTAATCTATTACCTTTAATTTATTCTAGAAATAAAATGACACAATTTTTTAAAAAGTAAAAATTAAGGCGCTTATTTATTATGTAATGAACCATTTATCACGCGTACATCATTTAATATTTAGTCTTTTCAAAGTATTTGGCATACATGATACATGCATGATTGATCCTGTTAGGTTTAGGGCAAAGCCAACATACTCGGGGCGTTTGCCCCCTAGGCCCATGTTCGCCCACTAATTATTGTTTTGGTTCTAGGGTTGTAATTTATAAAAGTTTGTTAATCCCCCCTTCCCTAAAATTAATTTTTTCTAAATTTTTTTTTAATTTATTATTATTATTTTTCCTAATTGATACTCACATACCCCTTTTAGGAATTGTTTTCACCTAAGATGATTCAAACCTTAACCATGATACTTTATGAGGTAACAGAGTCAAGTGACTTGCCCATTTGAACCAATCCCTCGGGATTTCTTTAATTCTTTATGTCTTTCCTTCTTATTGATATTCTTTTTCTTCAAATTTCTTTTTGTCTCTTCCCAAAAAAAATAAATAAATAAATAAAATTTGCATTCCCTTCCTTCAATTAGATACTAATTTTTTTCCCTTCAAATTTCTCTCATATGTTTTTTTCTTTTTTTTACACTGATGTATGATTTATGTGCAATAATCTTCTTTTCTCTATTCTTATTCATGTTTTACACTTATTCTTTAAATTTATTTCTAGAATTTTATACACTTACGTCATGTTTGGCAATTGTTTTTTGTTTTGTGCTTTTATTAGCAAATTGATAAAAAAAAAGAAGATAAACTAAGTCCCGAAAATACATTAATGCACTCTTAGAACACTATTTTATTTCATTTTGTTGTCTTGCTAAACTTAAACTTTTAGTTGAATTTTATTCCCAACCCACCCCAAAAAAAAAAAAAAACCCGAAATTCCTAGTCAGAGTTATTTAAGGATAGATGACTTGTAAAAGAATAGAATAAAAAAAAAAATTCATATGGTCGATTAAAGAACCCCCCCCCCCCCCCAAAAAAAAAAAAATCATATGGTCGATTAAAGAACCCCCCCCCCCCCCCCCCCCAAAAAAAAAAAAAAAAAAAAGAACCAAATTCCTAGCCTCACCCTTGGTTATGGTAATAACTAAATTGACATAGAATAAAATTATTAAAAAATAATTTTAAAAAGTTAAATACTAGAGGAGAGATGACTTGTAAAAGAATAGAATGAAAAAAAAGAATTCATGTGGTTGATCTCATTCATAGGATTAAAGAAAGGATGTTAATAATGACATTTTAACAATCCTTCTTAAGTTGGAGACTATATATCATGATGTAGAACAGATTGCTGAAGATTTTGGAACTTGTTTGGACTGTCAAAAGGTTAAATAGGCAGGCTGGCCTAGTTTTTTTGGATGATTTCAACGAATCCGTTTCTGACCCGGAAAGAGCCCAACTTCAATCATTTCAGGCTCGTGAATTGTGTTTTCCCAATTTTGAATTTATCGGGATTTTTGTTAAAAGACTAAACAACCACTCTAGTGATGTTGATCAATGATTGCAGGCCCTTTGGGCAGCCATGCAAACCTAGAAATAACAAACTTAACAGATGGAGTGCATGTTGTAGGATCTCCAATGGACTTTCGCTAAACTTGGGATTGGTGGTAACCAGGTCCTTGAACTAGTTCGAGTTCGCGCCAATGATATTACTTGTGCCCAACCGAATATGGTTAACGTTCCTGTACCTCTACATGGGCCTCCAACCTATGTGGGATCTTCCAGTGATGAGGAGTTTAGGGGATTTAATCGGTATGATAGTGCTAGACAATACAAAAACCGAGAAGACCCAGACACTCGTGATTACAAGATGAAGATGGATCTACCCATTTATAATGGACATTTTCACATTACAGATTTCATTGACTGGATTATTGAGGTGGAACATTTTTTTGAGTATACCGATATTCTAAAGGAGAAACATGTTAAGTTTGTGACATACAAGCTTAGAAAGGGCACTTCAGCCAGGAGGGAGCATGAACAAACTAACTATAGAAGGTACGGAAAACAACCTATCCAAACTTAGCACAAGATAAAGAAGTTGATGATGGCCAAATTTTTACCACCAAACTACGAAGTCAGGGACTTTATATTATTTAGGGAACCCAAATTGATGCTCCACTTATAGATATGGTGTTCTATAAACTGGTCGTTTGACTCCTCTAAGTTCCAGGCCATACTCTTGATTAAGCTATTCAGCCAGCTGGCCTTTTTCTAGTGTGATTTGTGCTGGTTGATTAACTGCTTGTGGAACTTTATTAAAAACTAGCTGCTGATTAGCCGTTGGTGGTTGATAATAATTCGGCCATTCACATGGTTGATTGGCCATATTGTGCCCCCTGAACCTAGGTTATGGTGGTACCTGAGTGTACAGTGGATTTGGAATTCTTTACCTAACCTGGCTATCTCTCGAGTTAAGGGGTAACCGATAAGGGTTTGGAGGAATTACCTGTGGTCGCTGATTTGTCAATTGAACACATGTGGCTGATTGAAGCCTGGCAAAGTAGGTTATGGTTGATTCTCTGCCCAAGTCGGCAGCAAATTCACAGGTTGACTTCTTGTTGCACTGGGTTAGAGTAAAATCATTAGCGACCATGGCTGTGATGATTCGGCAGACACTGCTGGTTGAATAGTTTGTGATGGAAACGGTTGAGGAGCAGATTCTTGATTGTTGGAACTTCCGGCCTGAGCCACTTTATTCATAATTGCAGGTGAGAGTTGGGACATGGTCTCATGCATGTAATTATAATGAGCACTAATTTTTGCCATCGCTTCTACTAAGGAGCTCACCTATATTTAAACTATTGCTACTTCAGATGGTATAGCTAATTCATCCATAGGGTCTAGCATAGAGGTTCCACCCTGGGCTGGCTGATGTTCTTATTTCGGATCTTCATCTGTAGCAACGGCCTTGGAGTTCTTCAGCCGTGGCATAATTGCTTCTTCTAACTTTAGGCGGGGGGTCCCACTGGGCATGCCAATTTATATTTGCACTAAATTTAGCTCACACGGCTGATGGAGTTTGTGGGTATGCCATAGTCTATAGAAAACTCAAAATTATGAACACCAACTATCCCTTTTAGATTGGTGGCTGACTTCAGGCAATTATGTGGGAGGGAGAATAGTAAGAACTCTGAGCAAGGTTCTTTTATTGCTTTGTTTGCAAGGACTTTCAAAGTGTTAAAGAAATGTGCAATAGAAAATAAAATAATTTAAACGAATCGGCTGAATTAATATTACATGGAAAGAAAAGTGCAATGAAAAAGGTAAACGACATAATTTAAATAATTGGAA